TTTCTACCTAGGACTTTCTTCCGCTTTTGATTTTTTGACGAGCAAAGATTTTTCCATAAGCAAAGAACTTCCCATTGTGAATTTTTTCAAGTGCGCGATGTAAACAAAATATGCAAAGAACATGAAAAACAAATCTCAAGATGAGTGGTTGCCGCGAAAATTCTCTCAGACTCGCCCAGGTCAAAGGCTATGACACCTTCCTGATTTCTTAACTTTTATTTGAAAGTACCTTTTTCTAAATAACTCAGGTACTTTTGAAGATGTCAGGTAAAAGAACTTTTTTATGGGAACGTTATGTTAAATGCTTGAATTCACTTTAGTCAAATAAAAGAAAAATCGATTTTTTCGGCCTTTGAGGGTGGAAAGAAACCCTAAGCAAATTGACCACCGTAAATATATTCTAGGCTGAAGTTTCTAGCGTTAGCCCTTTGTCGCTCTGAAATTTCCAAATGCCTTTTTTATTTGCTCTGTTGAGCAATGACTGGCATGCTTTCGAATAATACGCACGCCAGAATTTTGTTCGTGTATAATTATGATGTTTAAAAGGGGCGTAGATCGAGTCTGAAATGCTCAGCAGTGTATCTCCTTTGCAACGTTAGGCCAGCACTGAGGTGCTGAAAAAGAGTAGCCAGAGGCGTGTTGGGTTACTCCTAAAAAAGGGAACTTTGAACTATATCTGTGTTCCTCTCCGGAGAGTTTAGCTTTTATGTCAAGAGCACGTTTCTTGGACTAAGGTGCTGAAAGTAAGTTCCTAAAGCACGTTCGAGATTAAAGTAACTTTAAGCTGTGTCAGGGTGTTCTTTCCCGAAGAGTTTAACTCCTATGTCAACAGCACGCTGTTTGGACTGCATTGCTGACAAAAAGTCACCTAAGGCATGTTGGGTTACTCCGAGGCTAAAGTAACTCCTCGCTGTGTCTGGGTGTTCTTCCCCGAAAAGTTTAACTCTTATTTTAAGAGCACGCTGTTTGGACTGAAGTGCTGACAAAAAGTCGCCTGAGGCATGTTGTGTTAAAGCGAGATTAAAGTAACTATGAGCTGTGTCTGGGTGTTCTTCTCCGAAGAGTCTCACTCTTATTTCAAGAGCACGCTGATGGGACTGAAGTGCTGACAAAAAGTCGCCTGAGGCATGTTGTGTTATTGCAAGGTTGAAGTAGCTTCGAGCTGTGTCTGGGTGTTCTTCGCCAAGGACTTTAACTCTTATTTCAAGAGCACGCTGATCGGACTGAAGTGCTGACAAAAAGTCGCCTGAGACATGATGGCTCTATAACACAGGATTTTTCTTTTATCATCTACCGACAAAGAAAGGCCTTCGGCTTCATCGAGAAGCGTCATTGATCTTCCATCTATCCCCCAAGTCACTTTGCGAAATGCCAAGGACACAAGTAACTGATTGTAAAACACGCTCTTTCCAAACGCCTGAGCTTTTTCAGTTGCGTGCTCGTAAATTTTGTCAAAGACTTTTCCCTCGCACCAGAAAAGGGAATCTAGAAAAAATTCTGCTTTTGTCAGGACACCAAATGCAACGTCACATGTCTTAGGATCGGAACAGCTCTCCATAAGACTCTGAATAATATTCTGCTTCTCTTCATAGAAGTCAATAAATGCTTGCATGGATTGTCCTGTCAAAAACTGTTGATTTAGCTTCTCGAAAAGAGAGACGTAAAATGCAGACAAACGTGCTTTGGAGTTCAGCATGGCTTCTTTCATTTCATCTTGACCTCTTTCTCTTGCAAACGACAGAACCAACTTATGCATCGAAAATGACTCAGGTTTGGAGCTAGAGTCGAGGAAAGATTTTCTCCGAAGCATATACAAGATTTTCTTGGCCTCCAGAGTTGTTTTTACACCTATGACGGCTGCAGCAACCGAGTGGTGAAAATCTCCAGAAAGAACACTAAGTGATACCAGCGCTTCTTTCTCGGATAAAGAGAGTCTCTGATAAGAAGATTTAAATAGGAGCTTCAATCGCAGATAGCTTGGATAATCTGGATTGTCCAACAGCTCGAAAATGTTACTTTCTATAGATTCCTTGAGGCTATCTAAAAATTGACTCGGCTGAGCATTGTCTTCAGTAATGGAGAAACACAACAGTTTCACTACGAAAGGTACGAACCCGCAGAATTTCGCAATTTTCGAGCAGTCAGACGCGGTCGCTTTAGGAAGTAATCCGCCGACTAAGGTTTGAGAGTAGGACTCGTGTAGTGGGCCTATTCTTACTGCTTGATGGCCTTCAAAATTCACATTCATAAATTCAAGAGATTCCCTTGTGGTAAGAAGAAATGTTAAATTCTTGAATTGACTAAGAATGACTTCCAGAAGGTTTATGAAATCCTCCTTCACATTGGGTGCTCCACTTTCGAGTAATTCATCGGCATTGTCAAGAATAATCACAAATTCACCTGAAATGTCCCTTAGAAAGAGAAAAAGTTCTTCTTCTATGGACATCTGCTGAGGAATTTGATCTCTTGTGGAGTGTCTTCTAAAGAAGCTCAGAAGCTGCGTGGTCAGATCGGCCTTTGAAAGAAGCCCTCTCATGGAGAAGAAGTATACGAGAAGTCCACCAGTTTGAAGTCGATGTCCGACTTCAGTTGCCACAGAAGTCTTACCAAAACCAGGCGAGCCCCATACCGACACGATCCGGGAACGTTTGGAAGTTAAGTGACTGCTGATGTCTTCACATTCTCTCTGACGGCCAGTGAAGTGTGGAACCTTTGAAGGAAGACTTGATGGTGGAAGGAATGGCTTTGAATCTTAAAAGAAGCAAATTGATACAATCATGAAAGAGCTCATGTCGGTAGTTTGAAGAGAAAAATAACGATGATAATAAATAGTACATTTTACTGTACCATTAAAAATGTGGAAATCATGTTTTAGGGACACAGCTTTAATCATGAGCTTCTTGCTCTTTCCGTGAGGTTGTAATCTTAACAACATCCCACAAGAGTCACGATGCCGGTAAATATAGTGGCTGCGGCTTACTTCTTGAACAAATTGTTTTAAAATAAAAGATAACAGATTGTTTAAGGTGATTCTGATTACAGAATAAATTCATCTTAGGGAAGAAGACAGGATTTTCAAGACATGTACGTAGCACTTTTGCGAATACTGGAAGTTGCCCCGTTGAACTATTATTACTAGAGTAAAGAGCAGAAACGCTGCTATTTCTTTTCAGTTCCTCCCTGCCAAACTAATGGTTATAAGACTGCCATGTTGCATCTTAAATTGTTGTTAATCAAAAAATTCTGTAAAGCTTTTAATCAGTTTATACCTGTTTGATCTTCATCCATGTTAAGTTTCAAATCATCTATTTCTCCCTTCAACAAAGCGAGGTCATCAACTTTTTCTTTTATCGCATTCCCCTGTGCTATTAATTTGTCGACACCTGATTTCACTTCTTCGAGACACTCGACACCTGATCTTAGTTCTTCGAGACACTCGATGTATGATCTGGTCTCCTGTCTAAGACTTTCTTCCAATTTGCGAACTTCTTTGGTGGGAAAGTCAGACTCTGTCAGTCCACCGATGGCATCAATGGGATCTGTTATGATTCCAAGAGCTTTGAATGCTTCTTTAGCAAGCTGCACGTATTGGTCAAAGGTTGGTTTATCAATCTCTGACCTGTCTGCGTGACAAAGGGAGTTTCGTAAAAGTCGAAGCTGATCAATCGCAAGAGCGAAGGTTTCGGCTGTATTTCCACTTGTACTCACAACAGATGGATGGAACTTTCCGGGAGGTACTTTATGGTGCCTTACGTACATTTCACTGAGTGTCTTGTAATGACCTTTGCTATCTGGCGTAGCGAAGGACCTTGCATAAATGGTGGCCTTGAACAGAGCGGTACAATCCCATTCTTCATAGGAGATGTGTGTAGGAACTTTGCTTTTTCCACCGTGGAGTTATCCCACAGTTGATATCCGGGACGATGTCCAAATCTGTTGTCCCACATGGATTTGAACGTCTGACGCAAAGCAATGGCGAACTCATTGAGTACAACTGAGGCAAATTTGAAGTAATTCAGCTGCTTGTTTGTAAAAGGCTGTAGAGCCATAATCGGCGTTAGCTCTGGAGATAGCTATCCTCGACCAAAATCCTGAGAAAGATTCAATTTGTTCAAGCATAGATACATATTAAGTGAAATTAAACAGCGATTGATATATGTGAGAGGAAAAGGTAAAAAGTTCTTTGGTCATGTTATTCTCGTTTTAATAAATACTTAATCGCACATGCAGACTGGCTCTATCAATTGCGCATAACGGCATAATTACGGAAAGTGGCTACACAGCTAAATTGACTTGAGAAAAGGTGAAAACTCATCTCTACTTTAATTAGAATAAAGATGTACGCTTTGAATCTGCTTTCTGTTTGGATGCCAATTCCCAGCACTTTGTAATTAAAACTAACAGATTTCTCCCTCGAGGTTCAACCGAAACAATTGTATCTTATTAAAATGCGGAAACCGAGAAATCGAAGATTGTGACGCTATAGGATGAATGTGCATCTTAGAAATTAAAGTCCTTCAAAAAATCCACTTCAATAAGCTTGGTTTAACGTCAAAACTTAGTTTTTCTCAAACCTCAACTCCACTTTATTGATACAAACTTTTCTTTGCCAGCAAACAGTTTGAAATAATTTCACGTTTGATATCATAATATCACGCTATTTTGATTTACATGTGTATGAAATTTCAAAACTCTTTCAAGTTTTCAAAGTATTAACTTCCAACAAGATATCCTAAATAAATGGGATTACGAACTTGCATGGCATGAACGACAAGCACGAAGAAACAAATTATTGCGCAATTGATGATAACAAGAAATTGAAGGGTACAAAAGATTGCGTTTTAATTTCTGCTAAAAGCGGCTCAAAACGTTCGTTAATAAACCTTTTGCTGTTCATTACGAGAAAATACGCATTCATTTGTTTGAAAAGGCGAACAATTGCGTGAAGTTACATTCCTAAGCGACAAAAAGCGATCATCTGCGCGTAAATCAGATTCTCCCTACTGCGCTTTACCGTGACTTCTGGCCGTCCAAACGTTGTAACCGGATTCGTCGACAAACACACAGTGGCGATAATGAACACCTTAAGGTATAGTTGAAAAAAACTGTTACTCACCTACTTCGAAATTCAAGTTAGAGCGAGAAATATCATGATGGCAGACGCACAAACTGATTATCTGAATGATTATTGGACGAACTGCGAGAATGCAACTCGAAATTTATCCGGAGAGTGGTTGTGTTATGACTACCTATTCATACCACACAGGAATTCTAAACTGACCCTTACTATGCTAAATGCCTAAGCAATGAAGAATTGATTGTTCTCGAGAAATGTGGCGTGATGTTTACAGGTCAAACGCGCCTTAGAAGGGGAAATTCCCCTTTAATCTGGTCAATACACTCAGCATTGCTCAATTTCCTTTTTGAAATAAACATGGCCCCCTGAACAATGCTCTTCAAAACATGCGATAGAGCAGGAATAACTTCTTTTTCATCCATAGCGCTCACCTAACGCTTACTTCTGCTTGCTTGAAAGATGCAAAAAAAAAAAAAAAAAAAACAGAATGGACGACTCACAAACACGCCTGCTCTTCAAAATTCCCTGACTTAGTCTTAACAGAAATAACCACTACTTTCCTCATCTTATCTTATTACGAGCTTGTTATTTCCGTCACACGATTGGGTCGCTTACTCGGTTCGTTTTCTTAACCAAGATATTGCGTTTAATACTGTGGGTGCTAGGCAGTCTCATGACATGTGCTTTCATGGCTTCCTCTCTCAGGCTGTCGGCTTGTTTTATTTACGATAAACGAGCGTGAGTAATATACTGTTCACTCAGCTGACAGTGGTACATTTTTGAAACGAGTAACATTGCAGACAAGATTTATTTCATCATATTTTCCGGTCGCAAATGAGAAACAATGCTTGAGTGTAGCGCTCATAACAAGACGTCTCTTGTTACGTCGGTTTACAATATGTTTCTGTTATTATTCACTTCCGCTGGAAGTCATACTTACGGACACGAATGTGCTATATATACTGTTCAATGTTAGTTGTAATCATCCCTGAAGAAGTCTCAGACAAAACGCGTCGGAAAAAATAAACAAAAAGTTACAACACCAAGTAGTCTTTCTTTGTGCTGCTCACTGGTCTCCGTTAAAAAAAGATACAGAAAGTATAAATCTTGTATATTTTCGGAACGTGGAAGAAGAGTTTCGTTCACGAAACCAGATCAAGATCTCCCATAATACGTGACGACACTTTGCACTTATGTCACGCTCACTCTAGAATTGATGGGCTTGAGGTCACAGTGATATAGACCGGACCAAATCTTAATTTTAATACTTTTCGGCTTGGACTAAAAAATATTTCTATAAGTAACAGACTCGATCATGGTCAAGAGGAAAAAATAATATATATAACTATTTTTTTACCTCTGTTTGGTATGGCATGTAATTTACCCGTGGCTCTGAATACAGATACGCGATCCGTCGCGTTTTGATAATTCAACCTTTCTAGAGAAAGTGTTTTATTTCTCGCTTCGTATTTCATAGTCTCTAAATGGTGGCTTGTATCAAAATGGAACAAATACATTTTTTTTCTGCTCGGTAGCGGTTGAACAGCGAGGGCGAAGTTGTTACTTTCAGGTCTTAGCATGACCCTTTTCATAGCCTGCAGTGTAGGTTTCTTATTAGTGGGAGCTAACGTTATAAGCTCGCGGTCGTTTATCCGACCGGCCATGTTTGATTTGGAATCAGGGTAAACAGTGGGGGAAGGGAGCGGGGGAGGGGCGAGAATCTTCACTCCTCCACCCCCACCCTTCTTCTTCTTATTTTTGACCGTCGACCGCCCCCATAGTACAAATTTCTTTCTCTCCCCAAGCCTTCCGCTACCATTAAAATCAAAGATGGCGGCCATAATTTTCATTCAGAAATGCATAGCACTCGCTCGCCAAAATTAAGCCTGTTTTTCAGGCTACCCTTTCCACTGCCTTACACACGTGTGGTGTATCACATCACGTAACCTGGATCGGAACGTTTTCAAAAATGGCCGTCGATTAGGTGTCAAAAAAAAATTGTAGAAAATTTGGCTTCGAATAATATGTCGTCTATTTGCTCATTTAGGATTCTCTAACCTAAAAGGAATGTATACGTACGTACGATTCAGCGTTCAAAAAGTGTCTCCATTAAGCGCGCGGCCAAAAACGGTTATGTTATAGCTGTGACGTAGAAAAATGTGAAGACACGTCGGCAGTTATGGTGGAGGAAGGAAAAATCTGGAAAGAAGGACGGACGTAATGCGTGACCGGAGCGCCAAATGATAGCTACAAGAATAATACATATATATCAGGTATACTTCTTTCCCGAAGAGTTTAACTCTTATGTCAAGAGCACACTGTTTGGACTGAAGTGCTGACGAAAATATAACTACTGAGTTAAATCATGTAGTGATACTCAAATAGAAAGTAGGATGCTGATCGGCTGTGTCTCACGATTGTTCAACATTCTTTTCGGCTGACATTTCGAAGAAGAATTAACTCTTATGTCAAGAGGACGCTGATGGGACTGAAGTGCTTTTTTCTCTTACGATGAAAATCCTACCAAAGCATGTTGTGTTTCTAACGATATAAAAGTAACTTTCGGCTGTGTCTCGGTGTTCTTCCCCGAAGAGTTTAACTCTTATATCAAGAGCACGCTGTTTGAACTAAAGTGCTGACGAGAAATTGCCTAAAGCATGTTGTGTTACTTCGAGATTAAAGTAACTTTCGGCTGTGTCTCGGTGTTCTTCCCCGAAGAGTTCAACTCTTATGTCAAGAGCATGCTGGTGGGACTGAAGTGCTGATGAGAAATTTCCTAAAGCATGTTGTGTTACTTCGATAGAAAAGTAACTTTCGGTTGTGTCTGGGTGTTCTTCGCCGAGGGGTTTAACTCTTATGTCAAGAGCACGCAGATGGGAATGAAGTGCTGACGAGATATTTCCTAAAGCATGTTGTGTTACTCCGATAGAAAAGTAACCTTCGGCTGTGTCTTGGTGGTCTTTCCCGAAGAGTTTAGCTCTTATGTCAAGAGCACGCTGATCGGACTGAAGTGTTGACGAGAAATTTCCAAAAGCATGTTGTGTTACTCCGAGATTAAAGTAACTTTTGGCTGTGTCTGGGTGTTCTTCCCCGAAGAGTTTAACTGTTATGTCAAGAGCACGCTGATGTGACTGAAGTGCTGACGAGAAATTTCCTAAAGCATGTTGTGTTACTCTGAGATTAAAGTAACTTTCGGCTGTGTCTTGGTGCTCTTCCCTGCAGAGTTCAACTCTTATGTCAAGAGCACGCTGATTGGACTGAAGTGCTGACGAGAAATTGCCTGAAGCACGTTGTGTTACTCTGAGATAAAAGTAACTTTTGGTTGTGTCTCGGTGTTGTTCCCCGAAGAGTTTAACTCTTATGTCAAGAGCACGCTTATGGGACTGAAGTGCTGACGAGAAATTTCCTAAAGCATGTTGTTTTACTCCGATAGAAAAGTACCTTTGGGCTGTTTCTGGGTGTTCATCGCCGAGGAGTTTAACTCTTATGTCAAGAGCACGCTGATGGGACTGAAGTGCTGACGAGAAATTTCCTAAAGCATGTTGTGATACTCCGATAGAAAAGTAACTATTGGCTGTGTCTTGGTGTTCTTCCCCGAAGAGTTTAACTCTTATGTCAGGAGCACGCTGTTTGGACTGAAGTGCTGAGGAGAAATTTCCTAAAGCATGTTGTGTTACTGCGATAGAAAAGTAACTTTTTGCTGTGTCTTGGTGTTCTTCCTCGAAGAGTTTAACTCTTTTGTCAAGAGCACGCTGATGGGACTGAAGTGCTGACGAGAAATTGCCTAAAGCATGTTGTGTTTCTCTGAGATAAAAGTAACTTTTGGCTGTGTCTGGGTGTTCTTCCCCGAAGAGTTTAACTCTTAAGTCAAGAGCACGCTGATGGGACTGAAGTGCTGACGAGAAATTGCCTAAGGCATGTTGTGTTACTCCGAGATAAAAGTAACTTTTGGCTGTGTCTCGGTGTTCTTCCCCGAAGAGTTTAACTCTTATGTCAAGAGCACGCTGATGGGACTGAAGTGATGATGAGAAATTTCTTAAAGCATGTTGTGTTTCTCCGATAGAAGAGTAACTTTTGGCTGTGTCTGGGTGTTCTTCGTCAAAGAGTTTAACTCTTATGCCAAGAGCACGCTGATGGGACTGAAGTGCGGACGAGAAATTTCCTAAAGCATGTTGTGTTACTCCGATAGAAAAGTAACTTTTGGCTGTGTCTGGGTGTTCATCGCCGAGGAGTTTAACTCTTATGTCAAGAGCACGCTGATGGGACTGAAGTGCTGACGAGAAATTTCCTAAAGCATGTTGTGTTACTCCGATAGAAAAGTAACTTTCGGCTGTGTCTGGGTGTTCTTCGCCGAAGAGTTTAACTCTTATGTCAAGAGCACGCTGATCGGACTGAAGTGCTGACGAGAAATTTCCTAAAGCATGTTGTGTTACTCCGATAGAAAAGTAACTTTCGGCTGTGTCTGGGTGTTCTTCCCCGAAGAGTTTAACTCTTATGTCAAGAGCACGCTGTTTGGACTGAAGTGCTGACGAGTAATTTCCTTAAGCATGTTGTGTTACTCCGATAGAAAAGTAACTTTCAGCTGTGTCTGAGTGTTCTCCCTTGAAGAGTTTAACTCTTATGTCAAGAGCACGCTGATGGGACTGAAGTGCTGACGAGAAATTGCCTAAAGCAACTTGTGTTACTCCGATAGAAAAGTAACTCTGACCTGTGTCTGGGTGTTCCTCCCCGAACAGTCCTCTTGCGATGTTTAGGGCATATTCAAAGGACTGAATGGCTTTAGGATAGTTTTGCACCTGAAGAAGAGTGTGGCCTTGGTCCAGATAGCTTTTAAATAATTCTTCTTGATGCAAGTTTAAATCAAGATTTTTGTTGGGTCTAGCTCTATCTCCTGCGTTAACTTTTTCACTTTGTTTTAAGGTCTTTTTATGATAACTGATCCGTGTGTCGCACAACTTTGATGCCTCCTCGGGGTTATTCAGTACATTTTTAAGTGTCGAATTGATGTTGCGCTGGAAGGTCCGTGAACCAACGGAATGTGGGATGATCTGTGTTTTTGTTTGATTTGACATCCTTAGCACAGATCTGCTTACTGCTTGCTTTGTTTCGTAATCAGAGAACATTTCTGTTGCTTTGCTAACAACGCAAATAGTTTCTAATCTAAGTGGTTGAGTGGTTATAACATCTGGTTCTGGCATATCTGCTTCGATCATTGTCAAATCTTTGTTATTCACCGGAGGAATAACAAGAAGACTTGTGTCTCCTAATGCTCTGCATTCATGTAAAGCTTTCGTGTAAAACTCTAGTGAAGTTGCTTTCTTTTTATTGAAAAGAAAGTAAGTAACAAGAATTTGCAGTGCAGTTACGCTGAGAATTCGCTGTTCCGGGCTGTCACTCATCAAGCAAAGAGCTTCTTGCAACTTCTGAGCTCCGTCGTCTACTTTGCCTGAAACCAGTTGACAGATGCCTCCATAACACAGGATTTTTATTTTATCATCTACCGACAAAGAAGGGCCTTCGGCTTTAGAGAGCAGCGTCATCGATCTTCCATTTATCCCCCAAGTCACTTCGGTGAATGCTAAGGACACCAGCAACTGACTGTAGAACGCGCCCTTTTTAAACTTCTGAGCTTCTTTGGTTGCGTGATCGTAAATTTTGTCGATGATTTTTCCCTCGCACCAGAAAAGGGAGTCTAGAAAAAATTCTGCTTTTGTCAGGACACCAAATGCAACGTCACATGTCTTAGGATCGGAACAGCTCTCCATAAGACTTTGAACAATATTCTGCTTCTCTTCATAGAAATCAATAAATGCTTTCATGGATTGTCCTGTCAAAAACTGTTGATTTAGCTGCTCGAAAAGAGAGATGTAAAATGCAGACAAACGTGCTTTGGAGTTCAGCATGACCTCTTTCATTTCATCTTGACCTCTTTCCCTTACAAACGACAGAATCAACTTATGCATGGAAAATGACTCAGGTTTGGAGCAAGAGTCGAGGAACGATTTTCTCCGAAGCCTTTGCAAGATTTTTCTGGCCTCCAGAGTTGGTTTTACACCCATGACAGCTGTAGCAGCCGAGTGGTTAAAATCTCCAGAAAGAACACTAAGTGATACCAGCGCTTCTTTCTCTGATAGAGAGAGTCTCTGAAAAGAGGATTCAAATAGGAGCTTCAATCGCAGATTGCTTGGATAATCTGGATTGTCCAACAGCTGAGAAATGTTACTTTCTATAAATTCCTCGAAGCCATCTAAAAACTGACTTAGCTGAGCATTATCTTCAGTAAAGGAGGAACACAACAGTTTCATGGCCAAAGGTACGAACCCGCAGATTTTCGAAATTTTCGAACAGTCAGACGCTGTTGCTTCTGGAAGTAGTCCGCCGACTAACGTTTGAGCGAAAGACACGTGTAATGGCCCTATTCTTACTGCTTGATGGCCTTCAAAATGCACATTTATATATTCAAGAGATTCCCTTGTGGTAAGAAGAAATGTTAAATTTTTGAATTGACTAAGAATGTCTTCCAGAAGGTTTATGAAATCCTCCTTCACATTCGGTGCTCCACTTTCGAGTAATTCATCGGCATTGTCAAGAATCATCACAAAGTCATCTGAAATTTCGCCTAGAAAGAGGGAAAGTTCATCTTTTATGGACATCCGCTGGGGCATTTGATCTCTTGTGGAGTGTCTTCTAAAGAAGCTCAGAAGCTTCGTGGTCAGATCTGCTTTTGAAAGAAGCCCTCGCATCGAGAAGAAGTATACAGGAAGTCCCCCAGTTTGGAGTTGATGTCCAACTTCAGTTGCCACAGAAGTTTTACCAAAACCAGGCGAGCCCCATATCGACACGATCCGGGAACTTGTGGGAATTAAATGACGGCTGATGTCTTCACACTCTTTCCGACGGCCAACGAAGTGTGGAACCTTTGAAGGAAGGTTTGATGGTGGAAGGAATGGCTTTGAATCTTAAAAGAAACAAATTGATGCATTTATAAAAGAGCTCATGTCGTTAGTTTGAAGAGCAAATAAAAATAATGATCATGAACAATGGTACATTGTACAGTAACATGAAAAATCTAGAAAATCAAGTTTTATGGATACGGCTTTAATCGTAATCTTCTTGCTTTTTCCGTGAAGTTGTAATCTTAAAATCCCACAAGAGTCGCCATGCCGGTAAATATAGTGGGTTCGGTTTACTTCTTACACGAATTGTTTTGAAATAAAAGAAAACAGACTGTTCAATGTGGTACTCTGATTACAGAAGAAATTCAACTCAAGGAGGAAGAAAGGATTTTCAAGACATATGCAAAGCATTTTTGCGAAAACTGGAGGTTACCCCGTTAAGATATTACTACTAAAGTACAGACTGTTGCCTCTTTTGTCCATCCTTGCCAAAGTTGTGTTTCTAAGACTCTGCCGCAATGCATCTTAAAATTTTTGTTTTCAATTTTAAAATCCTGTAAAGCTTTTTATTAGTTTATACCTGTTTGATCTTGATGCATGTTAAGTTTCAAAGCGAGGTCATCGACTTTTTCCTCTATAGCATTCCCCTGTGCTACTAATTTGTCGAAATCTGATCTCACTTCTTCGAGACACTCGATATATGATTTGGTCTCCTGTCTAAGACTTTCCTCCAATTTTCGAACTTCTTTCGTGGGAAAGTCAGACTCTGTAAATCCACCGATGACATCAATCGGATCTGTCACGATACGAAGAGCTTTGAATGCTTCTTTAGCGAGCTGCACGAATTGGTCAAAGGTTGGTTTATCAATCTCTGACTTGTCTGAGTGACAAAGCCAGTTTCGTAAAAGTCGAAGCTGATCAATCGCGAGAGCAAACGTTTCCGCTGTATTTCCACTTGAACTCACAACAGATGGATGGAATTTTCCAAGAGATACTTTATGGTGCTTTACGTACAGTTCACCAAGTGTCTTCAAATTACCTTTGCTATCTGGCATAGCGAAGGACCTTGCATAGATGGTAGCCTGAAGCAGGGCGGTACAATCCCATTCTTCATAGGAGATTTGTGTAGGAACTTTGGTTTTTCCACCTTCTTCAGCGAGAAACAAATTTCTTACTACCATGGAGTCATCCCACAGTTGATACCCGGGATGATGTCCAAATATGTTGTCCCACATGGATTTGAACGTCTGACGCAAAGCAATGGCGAACTCATTGAGTACAATGGAGGCAAATTTGAAATAATTCAGCTGCTCGTTTGTGAAAGGCCGTAAAGCCATGCTCGGCGTTAGCTCAGGAGATAGCTGTCCTCAACCAAAAGTTCCTTTTAAAAGGAAAAAAGGTTCTTTCGTCATGTAGTTCTCATTTAAATAAACACTTAATCGCACATGCACACTGGCTCTACGAAAAGTGGCTACACATCTAAATTAACTTGAAGCAAATTGAAAACTCGTCTCTTTATATTAAAATATAGATGTACGCTTTGAATCTGCTTTCTTTTGGGATGCAAAGTCCCAGCACTTTGTAATTAAAACTGAAATATTTCCCTCTCGAGGTTCAAATGTTGTATCTCACTAAAATGCGGAAACCGAGAAATCGAAGACTGACGCCATAAGATGAATGTGATTAAAGTCCTTCAAAAACTCACTTCAATAAGCTTGGTATAGCGTTTTTCCCAAACCCCCAACTCCACTTTATACAGAGTTTTCTTTGCCAGGGAACAGTTTGAATTAACTTCACGTCTGATATGATACTTTCACGGTAATTTGCTTTACATGGTTATGAAATTTCAAACTCTTTTAACTCGCCAAAGACTCAATATTTTCTGTTGTAACTTCCTATAAGATATCCTAAATGAATGGGATTACGAACTTGCATGGCATGAACATGAAGCACGAAGAAACAAATTGTTGTGCATTTGATGATAACAGGAAATGGTAGGCTACAAAAGATTGCATTTTATTTATGCTAGAAGCGGCTTAAGACTTTAACATGCTCAGTACGTAAGATGATGACTGTCAAACGTCAAATCTTGTTACTGAGAGCAGTGATCAGAAATTGAGTGTTGTTCCAAGTCTAACAAAGTTTAGAGTTTCTTAGACCTTCATCGATATTGTCTGTTGTTGTTTTATTTCGTTAATACACCTTATGCCGTTCATTACGAGAATATTCGCATTAAGGCGAACAATTGCGTAAATGAAAAGTATAGAGGGGAAATTGAAAAAAACTGTTACTCACCTACCCCGAAACTCAAGTTAGAGCGAGAAGTATCATGATGGCAGACGCACGAACTGATTATCTAATTGATTATTGGACGAACTGCGAGAACACAACTCAGTTTTTTTCTGGAGACTGGTTGTGTTGACTTGTTATTCATACCACACGGAAATTTTAGACCCTAGACAATACACTCAGAATTGTTCAATTTCCGTTTTGAAATAGACATGGCCACCCTGAACAATGCTTTTCAAAACCAGCGATTGAGAAGGAACGACATTTTTTTCATCCATATCGCTCACCTAAAACTAACATTTTCTTGTTTGAAAGATGCTGAAAAAACATATTAGACAACTCAAAAACACGCCTGCTCTTCAAAATTCCCTGACTTAGTCTAGCCAGATATAACAGTTACTTTCCTTAATCTTACGACTACAGCAGACAATTGAAAGCCTGGTTTAAATATAATCTGAAAAGGTCTGTGGCCATCTGTGACTGATAGCATAGAACGGATTCCTTTTTTAGAGTACTTTTCCACATAATCCACTTTTCAACGCGTTTGTATCGGTCTTAAGTTTTCTTGTATTGAATTTGATGAAATTTGGTGAAACTTGCCAATCACTGTGCAGCGAGAAAGAAAACATCTGCTATCAAGAAGTACATGCAGTGAAAAATAAAAATTTGGAGGCTGTTACAGAGGAACAGCTGCAGGTAGAACCCAGATCCATTGTGCAGCATCCAGGAGTAGGAGAAATGTGACACAAACCTGGTGTCCAACCATTAGGTTCTCTTTTTGTTCGAACAAATGCAATCCGCTGTCGCCGCACACTTTCATAAGCTGGAAACTGGTGAGGGCTTGTTTTATTAACGATAAACGAGCGTGAGTAATTTACTGTTCACTCAGCTGACAGTGGTACATTTTTAATGCGAGTAACCTTTGAAACCTTGCAAACAAGATTTATTTCATCATGTTTTCCGGTCGCAAATGAGAAACAACACACGAGTATGGCGCTCACAACAAGGCATTTCTTGTAACGTCGATTTACAGCATGTTTCTGTTATTATTCACTTCTACAGAAAGTCATACTTAGGGACACGTATGTGCTATATATGCTGTTCAATGTTAGTTGCAACCGTCTCTGAAAAAGTCTCAGTTAGAGACGAAACGAGTTGGAAAAATAAACAAAAAGTTACAAGAGCAAGAAGCCTCTCTTTGTGCTGTTCACAAGTCTCCGTTAAAAAAGGATAAAGAAAGACTCAATCTTGTACATTTCCGGAACGTAGAAGAAGAGTTTCGTTCACGACACCAGATCAAAACCTCCCGAAATTCGTGACAACAATTATGTCACGCTCACTCTCGAACCGATGGGCTTGAGGTCACAGTGACATACATGCTTTTCGGCTTGGACTAAAAAATGTTTCTTAAAGAAACAGACGCAATAATGGTCAAGAGAAAGAAATGATAAAGTTTTTTTGAGCGTTGCTTGGCATGGCACATGGCATGCAATTTATCTGTGGCTCTGAGTACAGATACGCGATCCGTCGCGTTTCGATAATTCAACCTTTTTAGAGAAAAGTATTTTATTCCTTACTTTGTATTTCAGTCTCTTAATGGTGGCTTGTACCAGAATAAAAGAAAAGTTTTTTCCCCGCTCGGTAACGGCTGGACGTCGAGTGCGAAGTTGTTACTTTCATGTCTTAACATGACCCCTTACACACGTGCGACGTATCATATCACGCGACTCAGGTCGAAACATTTTCAAAATGGCCGTCGATTAAGCGTCAAAAAAAATTTGTAGAAAATGTGGTTTTGCACAACATATCGTTTATTTAATTGCTCATTTAGGATTTTTAATCTAAGAGGAATGTATACGGACAAAAAAAAAGGGGGGGAGAAATTCGCCGTCAGTTACCCTTTAAAGTGTTTATGACACCAAATGTTTTATTTGCATTTTTTTAATTGATAACTGCATTTACAGTTAGAAATTATCAGCCTTAGCGAATAGCGAGTTTTCCTTGACCATTTTTTTGCTCAATGAAAGTACAATTTTGTTCGATTGGTTTCTTCGTGAAATTTTTCTAGCGGCCAGAAGTCTTTCACGAAGGGAATGAACTTAACGAAAAATAGGGTTTTAATTGAAAATAAATACTTGCCTATTGAATACAAAATCCGCTCAATTGTTCGTACAAGCGCTTTAATGATTGTCCTATTCACACTAATGCCGTCCAGGAATGCTGTTGAATTGCAGACAGTGTGGTAAAAATAGTAATGAATGGTTTCTGCACCATAATGTTTGTATATTGTCTTTACTGGCATTCAAGATGGCGTTAATGACTTGAAGGTTAGCGGAAATTAAAGTATATTTTTCTCTTTTGTTGACGATTGACGCATAAGAATGTCCAAAATTGTTATTGAATGTTGATTAAAATGCAAAAAATCGTTATGGAATCTGATTTACGCGCAAATGATCGTTTTTTGTCGCTGATGAATGTAACTTTACGCAATTGTTCGCCTTTTCACGCAAATGAATGCGTATTTTCTCACAATAAACAACAAAAGGTGTAGTAGGAAAAAAAATGTTACTCACCTACCTCGAAATTCAAGTTAGAGCGAGAAATATCATGATGGCAGACACACAAACTTATTATCTCATTGATTAGTGGATGAACCGCGAAACTGCAACTCGAAATTTATCCGTAGACTGGTTGACGTGTTATGACTTGTTATTCTCACTACAAATTTTAAACCCTTAATAAATGCCTATGCAATGAAGAGTTCATTGTTCTCGAGAAATGTGGCGTGAAATTTAAAAGTCAAACGCACTTAAGCAAGGGAAATTTCCCTTTTAATCTGGACAATACACTTAGTATTGTTCAATTTCCGTTTTGAAGTAAACATTGCCACCCTGAACAATACTCTTCCAAACACGCGATAGGGTAGGAACGTCTTCTTTTTCGTCCATAGCGCTCACCTAACGCTTATTTCTGTTGGCTTGAAAGATGCTAAAGAAACAGACTAGGCAACTTGAAAATTCCCTGATTTAGTCATGACGAAAATAACCGATTACTTTCCTTAATCTTACATCTAGAGCAGACAATTAAAAGCCTAGTTTAAATATAATCTGAAAAAATGTGTTGCCATTCGTGACTGATAGCAGTCACGGATGGCAACACATTTTTTTGTGGATTGGTTATTATTCTTAAAAGTAAGAAGTGATATGGCAACTAAAAATAACTGAGTGCAAATGATAGGAATCATGAACTGTACCCCACTCTTCGTCCTCTTTTATGCAAGCAATTATTATTCTTGACGCTCCACTTTTTTTTGGTGCGTGGGAGTCACATATCTTACATCTGTACTACATTAGTAATAACTAACATTTGATTACCTCAACTCCCTGTAAGCACTGCTGTGTAGCCAAATCCCTCCGCGCCTCGAGCGTTTCTGGTTCGACCCACGCTCAGCTCGTGCTCGCTAGAAAAACATACAGTTATCTTTAGCTTAAACTGATGAGGTCACAAGGTCTTGGTTTTTTCTTCTGGTATTTTTTTTAGTTACCATATCACTTCTCATTTTAAAGAATAATAATTACCTGCGTTAAAGTGGATCAGGAGTAGGGGACAGTTTTATGATGCCTATCACAAGACGAGAATGATTCTTATTAACTTAAGAGCAACTCTCAAGAAACTCCATAAAAACAGTGAAACCTATACTCAACACAACTATCTGTTTAAGACTGTTTTCCTAGTCTTAGTCAAATTTATTTTTACACAGATATGTTACACTTCTACTTCTTTATTTTTTATTTTCACCTCAGTGGACCCTTGATTAACAAATAGAGAAGCCTTGACTGTGCTCTGTTCTGTTATAAAGCACGCAGGAAGCGGCTGGAGCACGAAAGAAGTGTAGGGAGAAACACGAGACGTAGTCGAGTGTTTCTTCCCACTTCTTGAGTGCTCTAGCCGCTTCCTAAGTGCTTTATAACAGAACAGAGCACAGTCAAGGCTTCTCTATTTGTTTTATAATAAAGAATCCGTTAAATTCCCCCTGTATTACTTTCAA